TAGATCCTCTCTTGTACTTCCACTCACTGGTCACTTTATTAGAAACACCTACATTGTACTTTGACTCAATGGCCACTTTATTGGAAACACTTACCTTGTACCTCCACTCACTGGCCACTTTATTAGAAACACCTTCCTTGTACTTTTGACCACTGGCCACTTTGTTGGAAATGCCTGCCATATACACCTGCCATATACCTGTACACATTGGCCACTTTATTGGAAACACCTACTTTGTACCTCCACTCACTCGCCACTTTATTAGAAACACCTAGCTTGTACTTTTACTACCTAGGCCAGTTTATTGGAAACACCTGCCATATACCTGGACACATTGGCCACTTTATTGGAAACACCTACTTTGTACCTCCACTCACTCGCCACTTTATTAGAAACACCTATCTTGTATTTTTACTTCCTAGGCCAGTTTATTGGAAACACCTGCCATATACCTGTACACATTGGCCACTTTATTGGAAACACCTGCTTTGTACCTCCACTCACTCGCCACTTTATTAGAAACACCTAGCTTGAACTTTCACTCACTGGCCACTTTATTGGAAACACCTGCTTTGTACCTCCACTCACTCGCCACTCTATTAGAAACACCTAGCTTGAACTTTCACTCACTGGCCACTTTAAAGGAAACATCTGCCTTATACCTGTACACATTGGCCCATTTGTTGGAAACACCTAGCTTATACTTTCACTTGCTGGCCACTTTATTAGAAACACCTATCTTGTCCCTCCACTTACTGACCACTTTATTAGAAACACATTGTACTTCGATTCACTAGCCACTTTATTAGAAACACCTAATTTGTATTTCCACTTACTGGCCACATTAGAGACCCTCAACTTATTGGTCCACTGCATAGGTGTACAGTTACTGTGCTGTAGTCTATCTGTTGTTAGCAGTCATTGGTCATTGTCTGACCACAGAATCACTGTTGTCCTGATATCATTTGGGTGGTGGTCCATTCTCAACACAGCAGTGACACTGACATGGTGTGTAGTGCTGTTATGAGGGCATCATACAATGGTGTTTCTTGGGTTTTTACACACGTCAGTGTCTCTGCTAGGTTGAGAGTGGACCCCCACCAAAAAATATCCAGACAAGAGTGGCTCAGTGGTCAGAAACTGATGATATCCATAGGCCAAACATTTACTGACTAGCTAAAACTGTGAAATGCTTTCATACTCAAACCACAAGAGGGCAACAAAGACTAAAATTTACATGGCTGATTCTGCCTGCACTGCTGCATGTAATTACAGCACCTAGTTCATTTGAGCGTGATGAGTAAACACTGTTATGGGACGCTGACCAGACACTTCTTTCTCTTACAGAGCTTTTACAAAGCTGTACACAGCGCACATTTGTAAATATGCTTCATTAGTATAAATCTACCAAATCTTTAAAACAGTAACACCATACAGATGATCATGATGCACTTATTGGAGTCAAGTCAATTCAATGGAGATCTTTTTAGTAGAAGGCTTATTATCAGTAACTACCTGGAAAACAATGCAAAATGAGGCACTGAATTAAGTGTTTGTTGTTCCTAAAATCACAGAGAGCACAATGGAGTCAAGAGATTTCTTTGCTGGGTTCTTTTACATAATGCAAATGATTCTGTGGTTGCTCCTGCCCTTCTCTGATAGGTTGCTATCAGCTCTGGCCTGTCAGCATAATTCTGCACCAGAGCACAGAGAGGTGCTGAATGAACTGAGAGCAAGCAGTGGTGCAGGACAATGTGTTAAACAACAAAACATATGCAGACACTTGTATATATATATTGTTAACCACTTAAATTCCCAGGGTTATTACATCATAACCCCTTAAATGGCCTAAAATAGCTCAAACAGTTTGCATTGGAGTCCCTGTAGTTACTGAATAATGGGATTTTCAAGGGTTAAGGTTTATTATACTGTAATTACATGGAAAACAATGCAAAATGGCCAAGTTATTCTTAAATTATAGAAGTTATGAACCCACTTCTGGTGTTGTGACCCACTTTTGGTGTTTCTAAAAAGTGGCCAGTGAGTGGAAGCACAACATGTTTCTAATAAAATGGCCAGTGAGTTGAAGTACAACGTGTTTCTAATAAAGTGGCCAGTGAGTGGAAGCACAGCATGTTTCTAATAAAGTGGCCAGTGAGTTGAAGTACAACGTGTTTCTATTAAAGTGGCCAGGGAGTGGACACACAAGGTTGGTGTTTCTAATAAAGTGTCCAGTGTGTGGACACACATGGCTGGTGTTTCTAATAAAGTGGCCAAGGAGTGGACACACAGGGTTGTTGTTTCTAATAAAGTGGCCAGTGGAAGTACAATGTGTTTCCAATAAAGTGGCCAGTGAGTGGACACACAAGGATGGTGTTTCTAAAAAAGTGGCCAGTAAGTTGAAATACAAGGTGTTTCTAATAAAGTGGCCAGTGAGTTGAAGTACAAGGTTAGTGTTTCTGATAAAGTGGCCAGTGAGTGGAAGTACAAGGTATGTGTTTCTAACAAATTGACCAGTGAGTGAAAGTACAATGTGTTTCTAATATAGTGGCCAGTGAGTGGAAGTACAATGTGTTTCTAACAAAGTGGCCAGTGAGTGGACACACCAGGTTAGTGTTTCTAATAAAGTGGCCATTGGGTGGAAGCACAAAGTAGGTGTTTCTAATAAAGTGGCCAGGGAGTGGAAGTACAAGGTAGGTCTTTCTAACAAATTGACCAGTAGGTGGAGGTGCAGTGTAGGTGTTTCTAATATAGTGGCCAGTGAGCGGAAATACAAAGGAGGTGTATTGATGACTCTGTGTAAGTGTATGTATTTCATCTACTGTATTATATAGAGTGTAAACTAACTGATGTCATGTTTGCCAACACATAACCTTGTGTTTTGACCTCATGGTTTCACCCCCCCACTGACTCTAATCAGAAGTGTGAGCCGTTGTTTCATGCCTGTCCACAGTGGGAGGAATCACACTTTACCTGCCTCGCACCTGCCCCATGCTCCGCTAATGCACTGACCCCTGCCCACTCGCTGCAGCTTACACCAATCTTCCCAATGCAGCTACAATACCAGTGCATGCTAACACCTTCTGCTTCTCATCATCACGACTCAGAGTGCACAGCAGGACTGCAGACAGGTTCGTCCTGTTATTTTTGACAACTGAATGTGTGACAAACCCCAGCAGCTCTGTGGAATCCATCAAAGGTTACTGGCTTTGATAAAAGTACTTGTTCCACTGGTGTAGTGGGCTTTCAGCCGGACCCTGCAAACTGCTGATTGATAGTATTGATTCTCTTGATGCTGATTATTATTATTATTATTATTTATTATTATTAGGTTAATTTTTTTTAACTGTTTCCATAACTTGGTTAATAAGATGTAAACAACATAGATACACATACCTAGATGCCACGTTGTCTGTTGTTCTCTATCTGAGGCGATACATCTGCGTGTCCACCATATTGGAGAGGTCAAGATCCGCTTGTGAACAAATTCCCTTGTATTGAGAGATGAAGAGTCTCAGGATTAAATCAGCCACAACTTCATTATTACTCAACCGATTCTCACCAAGTTAGTTTTGTTCTCAGACACAGATTAATCTGGGCTGCTCTCGGTAGCTTTTATTACTTTAATAACTGATCGTGCTAATTATCCGTCCGGACCAGCAGGAAATTATTCTGTCTGCAAAACCGAGTTTAGTGCGAGAAACAGAATCACACACATCAGCAAATCCATCAGTGTGTGAATCACTTCTGATCTTAATGCACATAAAAATAAAATAAACCCCCAAAAACACAGTAAGAGGGACGAAGCTGAAGTTGGCTTCCTATTCGCCATCTTCTTGTTCGAATTTTCCCGTTCCACCTTAAATGGTGCAGCTTCAGGCACCAGAAAGTGACTGCTGCACCGTTTAAGGTGGAACGGGAAAATTTGAACAAGAAGATGGCGAATAGGAAGCTGACTTCAGCTTCATGTAAGAAGGTGCTGAAGTTAATCTATTATGAATAGCATCACGGATTAAGGAATGCTGTAACTTACCCAGCTACAAAGCTTTAACCATCAGTGTAAATAAATAACTACTACATAAAGTTAGGATCCCCTGAATAGACTATTAAATGAAATAAGCTTAATATAAAAACAATCACATCAACAGGTTCTCTGTGCCTCATTAACCACACAGCCATATCTACACAAACATCACACAAACAATCCGCATCACACAAACATGAGCGTGGATCACTGCGTTCCCTCCATTATATAATCCTATCCCGCTTTCTGAGAGCAATATTCCTGAAATAGTGTAATTTTGGACAGTATCTTTCTTAAACTGCTGCTCTGTAATGGTACCGAATGCAGTCCAGCAGCGATGTTGACCGCCCTAAAATGGTGGCGCCGTTGACGTGCCTGGCTGGACCCAACGCAGCATCTAGGTATGTATATATGTGGTAAACGAGGTCTACAGAAGCTCACCAAGTCAGAATTGTTCACAGTGGTGGTGATAGGAACCAGACGTCTGAAGAGCTTAATGCGCTCACAGAACGTATTTTTTAAAGCCACTCATGGTGGAGGGGTACATGCAGGGTGTTGTAAGGCAAAGTAGTCCCCAAAGTGTAGGTTCACTGGTGGTTTTGGATAGTAAATAAAATGACTATATTTGTGTTGTAGTCATGGCGACCCCTGGTTCCTATCACCACCACTGTAAAGACATCTGAGTCAGTACGTTACTCAACAATGAACCATTTCATATCAAACCACTCTGAATGACTTTAAATTATGAATAAACTCTACAGATTTTTCAAAAAAACCCTCTTTTTAATGAATGGACCAAAAGAAATGGTTCAAAATTCTGCAATAAAAAAGTTTTTTTCCCCTTCATCGGTGAAATTACCGTTCTGGAGATACATGATTTGTTTTGTTTCTCTACAATAGTGACGGTACAATAATTGCATCATAGCTTGTAACAAAAGCAGTACCTTAAATCAGTGTTTAATATGGCTTAACTCCATTCAGCTGAGACACAATAGCCCTGTGGCGTCACGTTGACTCATAGCACTACCTTATTGTCCCCATCATGCACCTGCAGTTGAGTGAACCAACAGCAGATGTTGTTGTATATGACTTATATAAATGGGGCAGGGTTTAGAAACGACTGGTATCGAGACCGGCCGTTGCTCTGAGGGTGTGCCAGTTTCAGTGTATGTACCGGTCAGTGGAATTTAAAGCAAACAGATGGGTCATGAGGTCGCAGCCCCCAAAAGTAATCTTGCTGGTAGACGGTCCACCTCGGTTGGCATGTCAGTGTCTTGTAATCCTCCCCGTGAAGCTTTGGCATGGCGGGGCCTGTATGCAAAGCAGAGAGCAGCTCCACTGCTGCTGCTCAACTCACGTCTGTGTGATAAGAAGAATGGCAGGCTGCTGGACTTTGGCCTCTTTTGGGGCCGACAGGTGACCTAGGTGGAGGATACTGTTTCCACACCTACTCTGAGCTGAGGAAGGAAGTTGGTGAACGGTTTTTGTTCTTGGATAAGCTCTTGGATTGGGGTTTCGGGTAAGTGTATTAGCTGTTTTTAAAGCCTATTTTCATACAGGAAAGTAATAAACCTTCATAACTTAACATCTTAACATCTATTAATGTAAAGATTTTATTTTGGGCCATTTCTATTGATGCATTCACCACTAAATGTCCAGACAGTGTAAACGGAAGCTGTAAAATAATAGGGCTGTACAGGCAAAATGACAGAAATACCAACCGATTTGTAATATTTTACAGTAGAAAATAAGTGTGGTGATGTAAACTGTTAGTAAAAGTAGTGTACAAACAATATTGATACCCATAAATGGTATTTTTTTATGTTAGTTAAAAAATTAAAGTCATAACAAGTTAAAAAAAAGTCATAATTAGGTTCATTTTCAACTAAAGATCCAAGAATTGTCAACTCGAAATATTTTTGCCATGTTATAGAATAAGCACCAATGCCATTTTACAGAGGTTTCCAAACAATAACACACCAAGGACAAACATAAAAAGCCTTTTTCAGCACATTTATGTTCAGTATATACAGTATACGATCATAATGTACTACAGTATTCACTTGAAGGCCATTTTAAAAGCTGACACTGTCCTTTATGTCGATGTTTTTATAGGAGTTTTCGCCTTTGCTTATCTGTTTATATGAACTCGTAAGCTTTTCAAACTGGCTGAGCACTTGTGAAGGATCATGGACACGTTTGCCCTCGCCGCTCTCTTGCTTTTCATCACGGGAGGTGAGTATTCATCTTCTTTTATTTACTGTTTCTTCACTTCACAGAAAATGAAAGCACACTGAGGTGGATGAGTTCCCTGAACCGTTCACAGATATCAAAAGGTCAGCATGCAAAGGCAGGAACAAAATACATAGATCAGCCATAACATTGAAACCACCTCCTTGTTTCTACACTCATTGTCCATTTTATCAGCTCCACTTACTATATAGGAGCACTTTGTAGTTCTACAGTTACAGACTGTAGTCCATCTGTTTCTCTGCATACTTTGTTAGCCCCCTTTTACCCTGTTCTTCAGTGGTCAGGACCCCCATGGACCCTCACAGAGCAGGTACTATTTGGGTGGTGGATCATTCTCAGCACTGCAGTAACACTGACATGGTGCTGGTGTGTTAGTGTGTGTTGTGCTGGTATGAGTGGATCAGACACAGCAGTGCTGCTGGAGTTTTTAAACACCTCAGTGTCACTGCTGGACTGAGAATAGTCCACCAACCAAAAATGTCCAGCCAACTGCGTCCTGTGGGCAGCGTCCTGTGACCACTGATGAAGGACTAGAGGATGTCCAACACAAACTGTGCAGCAGCAGATGAGCTATCGTCTCTGACTTTACATCTACAAGGTGGACTGACAAGGTAGGAGTGTCTAATAGAGTGGACAGTGAGTGGACACAGTGTTTAAAAACTCCAGCAGCACTGCTGTGTCTGATCCACCCAGACCAGCACAACACACACTAACACAGCACCACTGATAAGTCAGATGAGCTACAGTAACCATACAAAGTGCACCTGTACAGCAGACACCTGTACAGTATGCAGCGCTTTCTGCTTCTGCTTTATTCTCATTGGTGTTCGATTAGTAGAACCTCTTCACCCTTGTCTTCCCTTATTCGCTCAGATGGATCGTGACGTTAGCACTAAATCAAGATGTTCATCATGCTTTGGAGAGACACTGCAGCAAGTCTCTAATTCATCACTCCAGCTTGATGGAGGCCCACTTGATCTTCACTAATCACTGCATGCTCTCCTTTGGAATTGATTAAGCCCTTTAATATGCAGTGAGACGGCGTTCCGTTTATCAGGTCGCGGCAGCGGTGCCTGAGAGCTCGCTGGAGAGCTTTAGCTTAAAGGCTAGCATGCAAATTTTTGGTTCAGCTCTAACCAGAGCCAGACCTGGAGCGTACTTCTCTAATGCTCACCACAGATATGCTTTAGTTTTAAATTATACTATATAACTACACCAACCAGCCACTTCATTAAATATTCCTTCCGTTTCTACGCTCATTGTCCATTTTATCAGCTCCACTTACTATATAGGAGCACCTTGTAGTTCTACAGTTACAGACTGTAGTCCATCTGTTTCTCTGCATACTTTGTTACCCTGTTCTTCAGTGGTCAGGACCCCCACAGGACCACCATAGGGCAGGTATTATTTGGGTGGTGGGTCATTCTCAGCACTGCAGTAACGCTGACATGGTGGTGGTGTGTTGGTGTGTGTTGTGCTGGTGCGAGTGGATCAGACACAGCAGTGCTGCTGGAGTTTTTAAACACTGTGTCCACTCACTGTCCACTCTATTAGACACTCCTACCTTGTCAGTCCACCTTGTAGATGTAAAGTCAGAGACGATAGCTCATCTGCTGCTGCGCAGTTTGTGTTGGTCATCCTCTAGTCCTTCATCAGTTGTCACAGGACGCTGCCCACAGGACGCTGTTGGCTGGATGTTTTTGGTTCTCAGTCCAGCAGTGACACTGAGGTGTTTAAAAACTCCTGCAGCACTGCTGTGTCTGATCCACTCAGACCAACGCAACACACATTAACACACCACCACCACGTCAGTGTTACTGCAGTGCTGAGAATGATCCACCACCCAAATAGCTCTGTGGGGGTCCTGTGGGGGTCCTGAACATTGAAGAACAGGGTAACAAAATACGCAGAGAAACAGATGGACTACAGTCTGTAACTGTAGAACTACAAAGTGGTCAATGGAGCTGATAAAATGGACAATGAGTGTAGAAACAAAGAAGTGAACTTATTATGTATATAGTCAGTATAGTAGAAGCAGCCTTGAAGCCTGAATCGCGTCTGTACTTCTGTGTATTTTATTGATAAAAGTGTGTCATACAGTTAGTGTGATGCTAACTGTTGTACACACTGTAGGCTCCTAGTATTTGTTCGCTGCATTAGCCTCATAGCTCCAGTGCAAGACTAAACAAGGGAACTTCAAACACCAAACAATTGCTTACATTTGATATTAACTGTTAACTATTAATTTAACCCACAATTGAGTCACAGTCAACGTCAGTGATAACAAAGCATGGTGGAATTTGTTATTATTTCTCGTAGCTCACTGAAACTGGTAATAAGCCCCCCAGCATTGGGCTCTGGAGCAGTGGAACTGTTCTCTGGAGTGATGGAGCTCCATCCAGTACCTTTAAGATGAGTTGGAGTGATCCAGAACTGATCATCCAACTGATGATCCAGTACCTGACCTCACTAATGCTTTTGTGGCTGAATGCAGTCAAATCCTCACAGCAATGTAAAGTCTGTAAAGCCTTCTCAGAAGAGTAGAGGCTGTTACCTCACCAAAAGAAGACAAACTCCCTATTAATCCCTTTAACGGGGACGAGCAGGTGTCTTTTGGACGTTTAGGGTATTTTGTCTTCACATTTCCATGAACAGTTCCTCATTACATACCTCTCCACACTCAGGCCCACTGTTGACCATTCACATGTTGACAGATACGGCTGACCAAAGGAATGCTTTTGTTTTCCTTCTTTCCTCAGGGGTTACCGCTCAAGTGCAGTTGGAACCGCAGAGCGCAATGGTTCTCCAAAGTTCAGATGCCAGGTTCAACTGCAGCACGAGGCAGCAGGGCTGGACGGTCATGATCTGGTCACTAAACGGACGGCTGGCGCTGACCATTTTAGAGGCTTCCGGGATGCTAAACAGCAGCAGTCGTTTCTCTGGGATAGATTATTCCACCACCGGTGAATCTAAGTGGGAATTTATCATCAAGGACGTATCACGAAACGATTCTGGTGAAGTCAGCTGTCAGATCCAAGGCAGTGAGCCTGTGACCGCTGGGCTGTCCGTTCAAGGTGCGTGTTAACCCCTTAAACTCTAAGAGTCTGTATGTTGGCCCAAACTTCAGTTTCTCACTCTCATATCTACATAGTAACTTGAATGAATGTGCACGCTTTACTTTACGCTTATTGTGTTTTGTTCACCTTTAAAGGGGAATTCCACCAATTAAAAAATTTCCCCATAGTTCAATAGTTGTTGTAAGCAAAGTCATTCAGAGTGTGAAATGGTTCATTGTAGAGAAACTTACTGATTCTGATTTCTTTACGGTGCTGGTGATAGGAACCAGGGGTCGCCATGACTACAACACAAATATAGCCATTTTATTTACTATCCAAACCCGACCAGTGAACCTACACGAGTCTTTTGAGTTCTTATATGTAATACCGATAATAATAAAGTAGTCATAAATTAGAAAAAATTATCTTGAGGGGACTATTTTGCCTCACAACACCCTGCATATACTTCTCCGCTATGAATGACATAAAAAATACTTTATTAGGCTAAAATAACTCAAAAGTATCATAAAGTAATGTCTCAGACATCAGGCAGTGAATTCATAACCATTTCATGTAGTAACTTTCTGTGAGGGAGCTTTTAGAAGTGGACGTCTGGTTCCTATCACCACCACTGTGAGCGATTCTGACTCTGTAAGTTTCTCTAGAACTGAACATTTCACACCAAACCATTCTGAATGACTTTGTTTACATCTTAACCATTTAATTCTGCATACATTTTGGAAAATGGACGTCCCCCTTTAAGTGTCATACTGTCTTATTAAATAAAAGGCTCGGTTCGAAAATCTGATTTGCCGAATTACATTCAAAATACTCACATTTATGTTGTTGACAAAGTTCATTGCTAGGCAGAAGAACTGCTTATTGTGATTATTACTAAAACTAAATAGTGGTGTATCTAGTCTAAGTTGTATTTTATGGCCACTTTTGAAAAGCAGTCAGCCACTCAAGGTGATGCATCACTGACAAAACCTACCAACCAGCTGCCCTGTACATTGTGTTACAGTTTCATGAAGAATGGAGCTGTAGAAATGCTCCAAAATTACTTGGAAAGACCTCTGGTTCCATTAACTCCCATTCAAAGTTAAGACGTTTTTTTCCTTCTCCTGTAAAGTTACTTTCTTGGAGATACAAGGTGTTTTTCCAGCAGCAACTCATGGTTACAGGGGTTTTACTCCACTTCACATTGTGCCTGACATTTTCTCCTTTAATGAGGGTGAGGGATTGAAGTGCAGGCCCACATATGGAGCTTTAGGGGTTGAAGTTGTAAAGCAGTCCTTTAAAGCACCAAAGAGAGAAACACAGTGTAGTAGATGTGGAGGCTGCAGAGTCGAGAGCTTAAATCCAGCATCTTTTCGGTGTTATCACCATTAAACTGAAAGCGATATCAACTTAAAAACCAAATTCCAACTTAATGTCAAACATTGATATCGTTCTACTTTCAGACTGAATGCAACATGACACACTTTCTGAGGCCTTGCTGATGAAAAAATAACGGTAGAGAGAATTTCTAGTGGATTCTCAAAGCTTTAACAGAGTCTAAACTCTAAATCTTTCGAACTGTGATTGACTCGAAGTCCATCCCATCACTGCAGTGTGTGTCTCTGTACTACGAAGATGGCACAGAACCTGATGTAACATTCAGTAACTACATCAGCACTAACCTGAATGCCACTTTCAAGTTACAACCCCACACATTCCAGCTTAAAAGATGCCAAAACTAATAAATATGCTGAGCTCATCCACATAGTGCATGGAGTGCATACGGTTGTATAAAAAAGTTTGTGAAAAAGGTAACCCATCTTTTACAGGGTACAGATTTTTCTTGTATTTTATTTTTTTTCCATAGAGGTTCACTCATGATTTTCTTGTGGTTTTATGTACCAAAACCATTATAATTTAACTTACATGACCATTTTCCAACCTTTCTGTGTCCCTTACAATTAAACAGACTGGTTTTGTTGCTGTGCCTTTAAGACTGATATATGTAAATGACTTCTGATTTTGATTGGCTATCCTGTATGGTGCCTCATTCAGAAAGCAATGCAGGCTGAAACACTCCTTATAAATTCATCATGAAAGGGTGGAGCTAAACTACACTGCTTTTAATGACATCACAAAAACAGCGAGTGGGTAAACAGTAAAATGGTCTGTTTTGCAGCTTAATTTCCACATATGGACTTTATGAACTGGGGGGTGAATATATTTTATAATTTAAACAGTGTTTACACACTACATCAAACTCTCATTTAAAAAGAGAGGACGGTTCAGTTTCCTGTGATTTGGACTCTTTAAATGGAATGTAATTTTTTTGGTTTACTTTTGTCTACTAAGTTTAACATGTTGAAAAAAATAAAATATAATAGGTGCCATAACTTTTGCACAGGCCCGATTTTGTGTTTAAATGTTAAATTCAGCAAATAAACAGTAACGGTGCATTCAAATGTTCAGAAGTGTGTTCTCTGTAGAGGATCTGTTCACTTCTTTTCAATTAGAAAATTAACAAAACACGGAATTTGACCAGGGGCGCCAAAACGACTGTACACTCACTGGCAGAGGTGAACAGTGTTTCTTAGAGCTGGGCTTTTGGTTTGAGCCATATATGCCAGATCTTGATGAAAAAAACCTCCTCTATGATAATGCTAATTTCTGCTAGCACCCCTATGGGATTCTAGTATTATGTTAGCTCAGATTTTTTTGCTCATTCTAGATTAAAGACTGAAATTTGAAGCTTGTAAAAGATATATTTTACCTTGTAGCAGTTTCAAAGACACTCTCAGTAAAGAATCCTTACATTGAGCTGTTGCTGTTTTCCATTTATAACTGACTGAAACCTGTTTAGATTACGGCTCATATTCAAAGTCGGTGATGTATCTAGAACCTCCAGAAGAACCAGAGTGACATTTTTCTCACAAAATTGATCCCAGCCTTTGGAAATCAAAATCAGATGAGTCTGTTGTCACTTACTAATTATGTTAGTGGTTAATCTGACGTGTTAGGCCTTCAGTTCGGCTCCTGAAGTCCTAACCAGTAAGAGAGCTTGCTTGGCAGTATCTACCAAGATACCACAGAGAATCCTGATTGGACAGTTTTTCTGCAGGGCATTTCAAGAATTTAACTCTTTTCAACCAAAACTTAGAAATAAAATTAGTATTACTACAATAGTTGAAGAATTTTATAATAAATATTTACAGTTTTATATATATATATATATATATATATATATATATATATATATATATATATATCACTGCTGTCAGAAAAGAATCTTGTATCTCCATTTTTGTCGTTTTTCAGTAAATACCTGTTGTCCTTTATATTGTGTGTACATTTCATGCTAAATGGACCAAAAGAAACGGCCCAAAATGAGTTGGAAAAAAGTCCATTGACTTACATTAAAACTAAAGTAGGTTTTTCCTTGTCCTGTAAAGTTGCCATTTTGGAGATGAGGCAACATATATATATGTGTATGTATATATACAATTATTAATATTACATTTATATTATATATTTATATTTTTCTTTTCTGAATTTATATTTTTCTTTTTCTGTCACCCAAATAATATATGGACAAATGTGGTCCCATGGTCAGAAACTGACCAATGATGAATGCACTTTTGGGGGCTGGTAAACTGTACAGTCTGTAATTGTACATTATATTGAGCCTATAACTGGAGCTCAGTGAGTGGAAGTACAATCTAGCGGTTTCTAATAAAGTGGAAATACCTGTGTGGAAATACCTGCATGTATATGCCTATGTTGATCTTTTTTCACCGTATGTTTGACATTTCGCAGCCTATTCACCGTGAGGTAAAACAAACAACTCAGCTAAAAGGCAGAATCCCCAAAGGTCCAAATATCACGGAGCGTGACCCAGATCGGAGGGCGCTACAGATCTTTACTAATTAATGTTCTTATTAGCTGGACTGCAAGGGAGATGTAAGGAAAGGCTGCTCTGACAGTCTTGGAGGCTAAATTACACACCCTGGGATTTCAAATAACAAGTCAGCAAATGTGCTCATGTATGACTGGTTCCAGTGAACCATCAGAAAAGAGATCCAAGCAGAACCCCAGAACTGACCCGCACATACATATTTACAGTCTATATATGTGGACCATTCTAACAGATACAAAGAGCTGAAAACACATTTCAAAAACATCCTTTTGCTTTGAGTGACCCTATAACTTACTCATGTTTATTTAGTTAAAATAAATGATTGACTGTTCCATTGTGTCACTGAGAAAACATCGTAACACTACCAAATACCAAATGATTCAGCAGTGACTGTTTCAGTGACAATTTTAGCTCATTTTTAACAGAACTCAAACACGCTAGACAGCACATGACTAGCAAACACAGCTTTGAACAGCTGTACACATAAAATCATTATATTTTTCATTGAAACACAAAAAAGTTAATACACAAGTTAATGCACATAATTGTGAAAATGTGTTTTAGTAGTGACAATTATTAATGTTCCACACTGATTTAACAATGGGATCTAACTGCTCACCATGTGGCCATGAGGGACAGGGATGCAGCCTCAGTTCTTGCTCTAAAATACAGACTAAAACTCTGTGTGTTTCGGTAGTGACTACAAAAACCGCAATTTTTAAATCAATTTGTATTTTTTATTTGCATTAAAAATAATTATTATTCATTAAAAAATAATTATTTATATTAATATTTTTATAAGACTCATGAGACATCTAAATCTTTCAACTTCACTTTAAAAGAAATCAAAAACATCTTTTTTTTGAGAAAAAATCGATCAACATGGGTTCAAATAGATCAGAACATAATCGTTATAAATATCTAAAATCTGAAAACTTAATTGTTTTTTATTTTTTATATGGTGGGACTGTAGAATATTGTAGAATATATAATACTAGTAATATGTATTATTATTACTAGCGAATATATATGTAACCGCAATAATAGTAATACATACTACCATGCATATTTTATACATTTTATACCCTTGTCAAATGATATATTTTGCTTATTTTCTAAGTGAAAATAATAAGTGAGAACACACTTCTGCACATTTTTATGTAACATATTGGGGGCACATTTATACACATTCATACACACACACACACACACATATATATATATGTTGGAAGAGACCGATGCTGTTGGAACAAAACTTCGAATCTTCATTTTTGTCGTTTTTCAGTTTTTGACATAATTTGAAAGTGCTTGTTGCCTTTTACACTGTGTGTAAATTTCATGATGAACTGACCAAAAGAAATGGCACAAAATGACTCGGAAATTCTGGTTTCATTGACTTGCATTAGAGGTAAAGTAGGTTTTTTTCCTTCTCCTGTAAAGTTACCATTATGGAGATACGAGGTTTTGTTCCAACAGCAGCGAGATATATATATGTGTGTATATATGTATATATATAGGTATATTACCATATTATCACATAGTAAAAAATGGTTTGTCAGTTCAACCTAAAAAAGCATTCCTGTGGTAACAAGCAGTCCAGCTGCGTTTATTGTATCCATGTAAAAACTTTAAATGAACTAATATGCAGCCATATTTTAGTTGAGATGAACGAAAAACAATATTTTACATAACTTCAAACCTCAAAACATTAAATCTTCAGCCCTGTAATAATAGACCCATTAAGTGTTTATATGTAGTTATAATATGACCCAAATTTAATAATAATAAGAATTTTCTAAGCCTAATTTTGACCATATTGTTGATCTTGACATTGTAGCCTATCCCTTATATTCTCACGTTTTCCAATTTTCCAAAGTGAAGACATTTTTGTCCTGAAAACATATGAAAAAAACCCACAGATAAAAGTATTCTTTCAGAGACTCACTCTAGCCTGGCCCTGGTGGTCCTTTGTGAGAAATGTGATTAAGTTTTTTAGCCGTGGGCTTCGTGTAAACACTCACAATGAGTTCTCATCAGGACATGACAGTGCTAAGTATCCTCATACTTCTCCTAGATTAAACGCTTCTCTCCTCACAGCAGAGTTTCTCCCGCAGGAGCCCGAGATGAAAAAGTGGAAACCAGGGCCAAAATGTGCTCCAAATGACAAAGGATACAATAAATGGCCCAGTTACACAAGCGCAGTTCAAACCTACACTGTAGACTCAAAATCACTTTACTAGGGGTTTAACTGTGTCCTTATTACTGCATGCAGCCAATCAGGTGTTTACAGTTTTAAAAAGTGCTGATGTCTTAATCCATAAAGACAGTCCTGATATATTGATCTCCAGTTTACTCCTCACGGTTTGGCTGGCAATGTGTTCTATTTGCAGACACCTTTATCGTTACGTCCTTTCAGAAGAGGGGATCGATTTCATTTAGCAAGTCACAGTTAAGTCTCAAGTGGGGCGCATTGTCTACTTTATGTGCCAAATTCAATACTAGGGTTTACTTAACAGCATATACTTCACTCTCATGTAATTGCATATTACATGGACCGTAGTTTCCACAACTTTTTGTCAGCAGAACCCAAAAGAAGCCTAAATTATAAACCCAAACATTTTAGAAGGCTAACAACTGAAAATCATCACCATTAAAAGAAATTATTATGCATTATGTTTTTATAGGTTTTATAGTTTTTAACTTGGAGTAGTCTCGCAGGGCCAACGATAATAAACATCTGGGGACAAAATATTAGACTTTAGGTACTGGATTGCAGCACAAAAAAGGGTACATCCCCTCCAAAACCCACCCCCAAATCTCTTTAGTACATGCTCTTTGAACATCTGGAGTAAAATCAATAACTTTACGGGGACATTTCAGCCAGGCTAACCTTATTAATAGACTAACGACAGGTTTGTTGTCCATAGCGCAGTGTTGGCAAGAGCACCATCAGCATCAACTTTGAGCTCCACCTTCACAAGGCATTGAATTGGTTTTTTGTCTGTCCTGTATGTCCAGTTTGTCATTATTATTATTATCATTATGATTATTATTAATATTATTATTATTATTATTATTATTATTTTATCCTTTCTCTTTGCTTCTTCTGTTTTGTCTCTGTTATTTCTGTCCTTTGTTTCACTCAAACTAGGGGGTGGGTGGTGTTTGGAGGGGTGTTGGGTGGTTGTGGTGCCACATCACCTTGTATCTATATGATCATTAATAAACGATGAGTTGTGACATTAATAGTGAAGTATAAAAAAGGGGGGGGGGTAGTGGTGTGGCCAAGGAATGTTGGCCCGGGAATATTAGAATTGGTTTAGAAATTTCAGTTTGTTCCAACACTAATAAGTAATTTTAAGACATTTAGCCCAAAGCTTTTTATGGTTGTGCCCCAGATGTTAAGAGCTCGCGTTTGGCCTATCAGCCTTGGAGGAACAGGGAAAAAAACATTAGTTAGAATATAACTTTCATTACATGGATATTCTTCAGACTTTAGATGATCACATATCTACATCTTTTACAAATATGGCTCTTTAAAGACCATCTACTAAAAGGGTCCGTAAGGGAATGAAAAGGGGTTCCCCTGTGGCAGTGGACTCCAACCCTGGTCTTGGACTTGGCTACCTTCCTGCCGAGCCTAGTTCCAACCACAATTTGCCACAATTTTCTCTTCTAGGAAGGCTTTACCCTAGATGTTGGAACATTGCTGTGAGGATTTGATTGCATTCAGCCTTAAGCATTAGTGAGGTCAGGTACTGATGTTGGATGATTAGTTCTGGATCTCCAACTCATCCCAAAGGTACTGGATGGAGCTCCATCACTTCAGAGAACACAGTTCCACTGATCCCCAGCCCAATGCCGAGGGGCTTTATACCCCTCTAGCCGAAGCCTGACATTAGGCATGACAACCTTAGGCTTAACTCCTATGTCAGCAATGGATACACCTTAAAGTAGCTGAATTCAGTGTCAAGGGGAGTATGAAACCATCACTGGGGCAGTACCCCCCTTGTCACTGGGGTGGTTCCCTCAATGATACATCTCAGTACCTTTAGTCAGGGAACATAACTGTTGCATAATCCACTGAAATGATATTTTCTCCACACACCCCGTCTCGTCTCCAGGCTTTTTATTTTATGGTCTGTTTTAAATCATTCGGTTATGAAAAGGTACAAATACGTACTTTTCACCTAGAAAAACGTATTTAATGTACACAGTTGGACCTTAAAACCACTGTTGTACCTTTGAGGGAACATTTATAGTGTTTGTGCCTTGATGAACGAAAAAACGTACCTGCACAGAACCTTCATTTCTAACAGTGTATAGTGTAACATGTACAGTTTAAACTCGGATCTTGCTTGGATCTAGAACTGTGTCTAGATAAACTAAAGCAGCATTTTAGGACAGACGTGGGTCTGGAGCCATTATGTGACAAGATTGGTTTCCTTTGATTGGATATTGACATAGCTTGCATCTCTTTGATCTTCTGTTTTGCTCCTTCTTTGCGCCCAAATCCTTCTCATTTCTGAATGTGTTACTTGAGCGCTCCTCAATGGTCAGCACTTTCCAACATCTCTTGGGAAATCACAGTTACACCTAGATCAGAGTACCAGTCCATTGCTCAAGCATGCAAATCCATCTCAAAGAGTAAGCGAGGTACAGAAGCCATGGGTGACTCTATCATGGTTGTTATTGACGTCCTGTTTGTTGTCTTCAGAGAGCGGCTCAGTGGAGATTGTAGGGATGAACTGGACAGTGATGGAGGGAGATCAGGTTGTGTTCCAGTGTCTTGCAGCAGGCTGGTTTCCTACACCACAGCTTTTCTGGACCGTGGATGACACAGTGGTGGACCAACAGCTCTTCAACACCAGCTCTGTGGAAGTGGGCACTCTGGTCAACTCCAACAGCACGCTCATGTTCACAGCGGTCCGCAATGTGTCTGTGGTATGCCTGGCGTCCATCCCTTCCCTGATCACTCCTCTACGCAGCAGCGTTTTCCTCGTTGTTGGTAAGACAGTTGCATTTTCACAGGGTAAATTGGGGCTGGATAATGATCAGAGATAAGTCTTTCATCAGACTAAAGAGCAGAGTGACTACATTTTAAGACAGGAGAGAGGATAGAAGAGTCAGGAGGCAGAGATGGGGACTTGAGTCAGTCACATGAAAAGAGTTGCATGTTGACTGACTCGAGACTCGACTTGCACTTGCCCTTAAATTTGATTTGTACTCTAGACTTACAACCTACAGAAAAAAATAAAACTGATTAAATTAGGGCTGCCAATGTTGAATGTTTAACCTTCAACTTCCAACCTTGTGTGACTTTGCATCTCGGAGTCGGGTCTTGAGTCTCTGGGGTTTGAGTCTAAATCAGGTCTCCGAGGTTCGATTCCAAGTTGAGCCTTGACTCTAATCAACTTGGCTTTAACTCTATGGTTTAAACCAAGTTATTTAGAATCTCTGGGGTGCAAGCTGAGTTTTGAGTATTTGGGGTTTGAGTCCGAGTCAGTTAGAATCTTTGGGGTGGGAGTCTGAGTCCAGTCTTGAGTCTCTGGGGTTTGCGTCTGAGTCAATTAGAATCTCTGTGGTGCAAGCCAAGTCAAGTCTCAAGTATATGCGGTTTGAGTCACTGAGGTTTGAGTCCGAGTCGACTCTCAAGTCTCTGGGGTGCGAGCCAGAGTCGAGTCTGTAGGGTGCTAGTCTGAATCAAGTCTTGAGTTTCTGAGATTCAAGTCTGAGCTGACTCCTGAGTCTCTGGGGTGCAAATCCTAGTCAAGTCTTGAGTCTCTGGAGTTTGAGCCTGAGTCAATTAAAATCTCTGTGGTGCGAACCGAGTCAAGTTTCAAATCTCTAGAATTTGAGTGCTAGTCAAGGTTTAAGTCTGAGTTGAGTCTAGAGTCTCTGGGGTGCAAGTCAGAGTCAAGTCTCTTGGGTATGAGTCAGAGTTGAGTCTTGAGTCTTGAGTCTGAGTTAGGTCTTGAGAGTCCGGTGCGCAAATGTGAGTCATGTCTCGAGTCTCTGGGGTTCAAGTCAGAATCAATTCTCAAGTCAGAATCAACTCTCTGAGGTGCAAGTCTGCGTCGAGTCTTGAGTCACGGGGGATGAATTCAAGTCCAGTTTCAAATATCTGGGCTGCGAGTCCGAGTCGAGTCTCGAGCCTCTGGGGTTCGAGTCGGAGTCGACCGTTGAGTCTCTGGGGTGTGAGTCTGTGTCGAGTCTTGAGTTGAGTTTCAGGGGGAGGGGGAGACAATCTGAGTCAAGTCTCAAACAAGCCTTTTATTATAGAAAAACCTTGAGTCTTAATTACAGAACTAAAGCGCTACATGCAGTAAATGCAGTGGTTAAAGGCAAGAAGCAATATAATTCTGATGCTACATAACACGACAATATAATATATTACACCATAGTTTTAGGCCAGAATGCCCCTTTAACAGTAGCGTAGCATAGAATATCATTTCACCACCATCCCCTCGGAGAACTGCACTTAATGTCATAGGCACTTACTTGACAAAGGTATGAATAGTTTGGGATTTTATGTACCTGCTGTGCCATGTTGTACCGCACTGTCCAGTGGAAAAGCACTACAAATGGACCATCAACAGTGATGCTCATGGTTCCCTTTGGTGGCAGGAGCCTTGAACTGCAGCCTCTTAAGCTCTTTGGGTTACTTCAGCCTTGCAGATAGCACAGAGAAGGGCAAATGCTATCTGCTAAAGTGCATTAGGCATAAAAATCTAACTTTTCTCTTTCCTCTTCCTAATTGCAGAGAAGGTGGAGAAGCCAGCGCACAGAGACCAGACCGTGCTGATAGCCGTCACTGTGTCCATCAGCGCGGTTGCCCTTTTAGTCCTCATCATTACCGCCATTGTCTTGTGCTGCAAAAGGAGAAAGAGAGCAAGTGAGTGTGCAGCAATTTCAAAATGAGCTGGACAATGAAAGTTTCATGCAGTCACTGCTTGGCCCGTCCAGTCTAAAGACAATGTATGTGCATTAGCATATGCTTAATATGAGGAGGGACAAAGTGTACTACGTTTTGAGTGGAGTGTTGGGTGACATGCATGGACAGGTGTCATGCATTCAGAGACGAATGATGTACAGTATGAATGCAAGTGTGCGCATCAGTCGGGGGTGTGAGGTGGGGTTAATGTCCAGGTCACTGGATAATTTTATTGCATTATTCAGGCTAAAAAGGCTCCAAAAAACATTGTGTGGGTTCCAAAGGTAAATGTGGGGGTCTAACTCTCATTTTTCTGCTTTTCAGAAACAAACTACCAAGAGGAAGTGAGGTATGTACAACTGGTAACAATGAAGCAAATGGTGTTTTACCATCTTCCGTTAATATGGTTGATCAGCCAACATAAGACTTTAGTGTCTGAAGTTTGTTTCTTTATTTTTCCATGGGAAACTTTGAGGCTAATGTAGCTAACAAGTAAAGGAAGCTTATCTGTTGCTAGCATGTATATATGCTAGCACCTCTATGTGAATTTCTAATAGTACATTAGCAGTAAGCTAACACTGGTGCACAACATTTTTTGCTTGTTCTAGGTTAAACACAGATGTTTAAAGCTGGTAAAGACATTTCATATGTTTATGTGATGTGAAAGTAATATAAAGCTTGAACTTCATGCCACGGCTTTTTTTTAAAACTTCACGCCACTTCACCTGAATATATAAACATACATCATCTAGAACATGAAGAATATTTAAATCCGTTATTTCGTGTTTGGTTTCAGCGTCGCTCCATAAAGTGTTTTGCTGCATCTCGAGGCTACGCTGCTTGCTTATTTCTGGTGCCGCCGTCTGTTTTCACACATGCGCAGACTGAGAAATTAGAAAGAAATCAGAGTAAGAGTTTACATGCACTGAGAAATCTGATTACTGAGCTAAAATCCAGCTCGCTTTATCGGATTTCTTAATCAGATTCGTAGATCAGAGTATGGTGTTTACATGACCATTTGAATGAATGGATAACTGCAGATATCCGATTATGATCAGATTATTGACTGCATGTAAACGCACTCAGTGATGCTTTTGGTAAAGAGTCCTGGCATAGAGCTTTTCCTTTTCTATCAACTGAAACGTGACTAGACTACAACTCATATTCACAGTCAGTGACATATCTAGAACCTCCGGAAGGTCTAGAGTGACATGTTTTCTCACAAAATGGGTCCTGCCCATTGAAAATCAAATACTGATTGGTTGATTCCTCAGTCAGTTCCTAATTTTGTAGTTGTCAGTTCAGCTCTTGAAGTCCTAGTCAGTGGGAACCCTCCATTGACTTCATCTGCCTAGATATGATTGAACAGTTTTTGCTGTGTCAAGATTTGAACCCTTTTATTTCCAAACAAAACTTAACTATGGAATAAGACATGAACTACAATGTTTGCAGAGATTAAATACAACAAGGATCATGATTATCCATCCATCCATCATCTAAACCACTTATCCTTCTGGGTCGCGGTGGGGTGCTGGAGCCTATCCCAGCTGTCATTGGGCGGAAGGCAGGACACACCCTGGACAGGTCGCCAGTCCATCGCAGGGCAGACAGACAGACAGACATATACATTCACACACTCACACCTAGGGGCAATTTAGCATGTCCAATCAGCCTGACTGCATGTTTTTGGACTGTGGGAGGAAACCGGAGTACCCGGAGGAAACCCACGCAGACACGGGGAGAACAGGCAAACTCCACACAGAAACGCCCCTGGTCGCCCAGCCGGGAATCAAACCCAGGCCATTCTTGCTGTGAGGCAACAGTGCTACCCACTGCGCCACCGTGCCGCCCTATGGATCATGATTATATGAAATAAAAATAAAAAGATATGCATATTTGGTTCCCAGAAATCATTGACGGTATGTGATACAGTTTCAGAAACCACATAAGCAAGAGATTTCCTCGAAACTCAACATGGTTTGAGGTATGTCATTATTTAGACATGTTAATTGGTGCAGCATACGTTCCATGGTTGTGCTACATTAGCCTCATGCAAAACTAAAGAAACAAACTTCAGACACCAAAGACATCTTGGCTGATTGACTATATTTGGGGCTTGGAGAAAATTGTGTAAATTTGATATTTGACCAAACAATCGCTTGGAATGCACAGTCAACAGTAATACCTGCATACACCTCTGTATTGAGTAAAGCCCTATTTGAGCTGGATTAGTTCACCAAAGGAGGTTCAGTAATGTAATTTGTGATTTGACTAGCCAAAAGGATAAAGGATCCAGGCTATTTGGAGTAATTCATTAAAACATTACATTACTGTGTGAACATTTACGTCAACATTCATCTGACAGGTGACACACTTCCAAACAATAACAACATGTTCTGTGGCTAAATGGTATATAGACTAGCGTTACGCTAGTAAAGTGCTTTCGTTCAACTTACCAAATGCTGCCCAACAAGACCAAAAATGCATTGTCTTGCTTTAGGTCCTGTTGAGATATTTCATTTTCCTTCTCCTTTCATTCGGCCTCCACTAAAAATATTGTGAATTTCACTGGAATATCATGAACTCGAGGATTAAGGAATTGGGTTGAATCATCAAGCTCCATTTAGCTGATATTCACAAAAAAGAAAAAAAGAAAATATTACCTGGTTTTGTTATTACTTTACTGTAATGCTGACTAAAAAACTAACAAAACAGAGCTCTGAGTTCAGCAAACCATATATAGAATATTCACTCTGCAATTATTACTTAGCAGACTTTTAAAAGCTATAGACACTGAAGATTCATACGGATCTCTTCAGTAATCACTCAATTACAGCGCCTCCCCTGATAAAAATAATCCAGCTCCAATAGGGATTAAGTCTGTGTTTACCATTGAACGTGTAAGACAGGCGGAGAGAGCTGTGGTGAGTTTATGTGGGAATCTCTGGGGATGGCGGGAGGGGACTTTGTTTCCATTTTCCGGAAGACTCTGTGTTGTCAGTGGGCCGCTAAAAGGTTTTGATTGTTCCGGTAGAGCACACGCACGATCACCGAAAGAAGGAGCTACGCACCCTGGGGAAGGACAGGGGCAGGATAACCTTGGTTACGTTACCGACCCCAAAGGTGAGATGAACAAACTCGCACACACTGAATCTACTTTTCATTTTCAGATACATTTTAAAACTTACAGCCAGGCTTTGGGTGGGGCTCAAGGTGCCGTGCCTGTCCACCTAGATTGTTAGGCCCGTCCAAAAAATTTGCATGTATTTATATATTTCTTTATATGCAGAATAAATCATTTTTAATGAAAATAAAACACTACTCTGAGGCAAAAACCCATCATTTTTAATAATTCCACACTATAGAAATTAGGCAGAAACAGCAGAGAAGCAAGTATTTCAATTTTTAGAAGTTTTAGAGACCCTAAGTGATATCATACATCTTTAAAAAATGTTCTGCAAGGGTTCTGTAATAATGGCAAGGGTTAGATATAGATCCATGAACACAGAGAACTTGAATGCGTAAAAGTGTCTTTGTATGGTGAAATAATTATTTTCTATGAAGAAAAACCTGGAGAACCTTTTAAAAAAGTGATTCTATATAGGACCAAAAAGGGTTCTGCTAGTCGATGAACCTTTTTGTGATAATATATAAAGCTTGTTTTGCTAAGAGTGAACTTGGTGGCCCCAATCCGCAAAAGTGGAATAGTTTCTTGTAAAATGTCTCTCAATGTTTGATTTCTTACGAGGCTGAAGTCGCTTCTCAGTCACCAGCTTCTTGTGCGAATTTTCCCGTTCCACCTTAAATGGTGCTTGAGGCGCCCAAAGGTACCTGCTGCACCATTTAAGGAGGAACGGAAAATTCAAACGAGCAGCTGGCGAATGAGAAGCGACTTCAGCTTCGTGACTTTTTAGCGTTTGACAGTTTCTCGTTTCAGATTAAACATATCAGGAAACCAGGTGGAGTGATTATAAATGTAAATAAGTCCATTTAATTCCAAATTATCGTTCTTCATCTTAAATCCCTCTCTTTGCCTTTTCGTTAGTTACTAGCTAGGTGAGACTGTTGTCTGTGTTGCTATGGTGACCAGCAGACTGTCCGCCAGCCTTCAGAGTTAAAGGGTGAATTAGCAGTTCTACATTAACTCCAGCATTTAAGACCATTTATTGTTAAACTGTGTTGAACGATCAGCAGAGCTTTATTTTACTGTAAAGGAGGATTATTTTATTTTTACTTACTAATCCGATTCTGCTGTGGAGCCGCAACAGGGCAGTAAAAGAGCTGCATGTTTGCTGACCCCTGGTCTAGATGTAAATCAACCCCATCTTGGCCAATTCATATTTTTCGTGTGACATTTTGGCAGCGCTGTTGTTCTTGGGTCCAAGGATGTTTAGCCAGTTTTTAACAACAAATAAAACAATTCAGATGCCAAAAAATAAAATAAAATATTTTTTTTTTAAAAGAGAGCCGGGGCCCCACTGGCTCATTTACACCAGCTGCCCCTCCATGAATGACAAAGAATTTAATCTCAGTATTTTTCATTGGGAAGAATCTTAAACCATGTGAGTAAACGAACAAACCAACAAGAATCAACATACTTGTGTCTTGGAGGCCCTAAGCAACCACTCATACCACATAAACCTCTTAAATGGCTTAAAAAAGTTTTATTACACACTTTTATAACCCAAGAATAGCTCAGCCAGTTTGCATGGAGGTCCCTGTAGTTACTGAATAATAAGGCTTAGTACATAATAAGCCTGGGATTTTAAGAGGTTAAAGCAAGAAACATTAGACCTTGACATGAAATTTTGATATTTTGTTATGATGACAGTATATTATTTACTTTAGCGAGAATCATGTCTTGAAATGTAGCTTTTATCCTTTTCACAGCAAATGACACCAACAGCGAATATACAGACAGCGGATTCTGGCAGTCCAATTACATCAGCACTATTCAGGTAAATAATGGAAGTGTATGTATTTCATATCACAGTTCACTTAAAGTCAACATGAATGGAAAATTACGAAGGGTTCACCTTCCATGCCATGACGCAGTATCAGGGAGGGTCTAAGAGCCAGATGAGGGGTGGTGTGAGGGGTTAAAGTGAAACATGATATTGGTTAAAGTGTTTTTGAATTATTTTCACCACTCGTTGCTCACTAGCAGCTCAACGCAGCCACGACATTTCACACACAGAGAGCCAACAGTGACTAATCTGTTAGGAGTTACAGGGAAGAAATATGTTATTTGATTACACTGATTAAAAATATCAGAGCCACGTTCCATTCTACAAGCAGAAAGAGGCCACATGATACGATATTATAAATCATGCTTAATATTAGGACATGAACTAACAAGGCAAAAAAAACCTAAAATGATTTTATGTTAACATAACTTCTATTGTTTTCTAGGTTCCTGATGTGGTGAAGAGTAACCAAGAGGCTAATAATTATCATGGCACCCTCGGTGACAACGGTGTCAGAAAACACAGACATGTAACCATTGTGTAAAAAGGCATTGATCAAAGTTGTTAAAATATAAAAACTTTATTTCCCCTAAAAATGTATTAAATCAAGTTTAACTTGAATAGGAAAGATGTATTTTTATGTACGTTGGTGAATGCAAGCATGCATGACATATTTCCATTTTGGATCTCTTGACAAGCTGTATACACATTATTTTTTTAAGCAATATGAAGGGATTACAGAAAATGCAGTAGAAATGTTTTTGGCCCTACTTTATAATATGCCACTAATAACTGTGTAGTTACACATTAACAATACCTGCAATAACAATGTAACTAGTGATGTATTCACTGTTACAGATGGATTACTGTAGCTTACATTAGCACACACATGTATCAACTTCATTGCATACTTATGTAGTTATAGAAGTGTCTTGTGTGTATGTATGTATAACTATATATATATATATATATATATATATGTATAAATATGTATTATACACACACACACACACACACACACACACACACACACACATATATATATATATATGTGTGTGTGTGTGTGTGTGTGTGTGTGTAGACTCACATGTAGTTATATAAGCTGTACTAATGTAATCCTTCTGTAACAGTGAATACATCACCAGCAATTACATTATTGTTGCATTTATTGTTAATATGTAACTACACAGTTATAACAGACCATTAATATAAAGTAGGGCCATATTTTCTTTTTCCGGTGTCTGAGATGCTCTAATTTGTTTTATTGGTCCAATGATGATGCAGAGAGGGCTCATATTGCTCAACCTCAAAGACTAGGAACCTAGCCTAGCACATGTACTATGCTGGCTTCCTCCTTGCTGCAATTAATGTTACATTATCCCTTGATAATATCTGATAGAACTGGAACTTTCTTTTAATGAAATTCCAGATTCCAGAAAATCTATTTGGTGTGCTTTCACTCTAGAATTATCTCACTGAAATCCGGTGTAGATTTCCTTGTTCTTGTTTCTATCTGAAAGAAAAAAAAACATGAATCACAGTCTCAGTGTACATCACTTGCTTGTATTTATAACTCCATGTCTGCCTGATGACACAATCATTGGCACACGCCACTTGTTCCCTTATAAAACTTTCTGCTTTCGGTTTTATGGTTGGTGAGAATTAGTCAACAGATTAGTTTCACTGATGAGCATTTTGTGTGCTGCATTATGCTTCATGAACCATGCAATTCAGTTCATTTATCACTGTTTGTATTAAAATGGCCAAAGAGCTTCCAACTCGTTGATTAAACATTGGCATTTACATCAAATTTATCTTCTGGAACGGGCCCGAGACAAAACTGTCCGACAGAATTTAGTGTTTGTTGACGCTGTGTGGCGCTTGGCAGCCATTTCCAAAAATGTATTTATGGATTATGTGTAGATGAATTGTGTAAATGAATGAATTTCTTTGTACTGACAACTTGATGATGGTAATTATTCTTAATAGTCTTCTTGATATTTTTATATGGTGTTTATCAATAAATACTGATACATTTTATGATCAAATGGGAAAATAGGTGTTGTCCAGTTAGTCTTGTTTTCACAAACAAATATTTCAGTAACTGGAAGGTGGCCATTTATGGCAATAGTTTACAATCCCAATACTGGACATTTTCATAAAGATGTTTTGGTATACAAGTAAAAAAGCTTAGGATGTGAGCAATTTTACATCAGTAAAGCTGGACTGTACAGCTCTATTTGTGAGCTGTTACAGATCTGTAAAGCTGGACTGTACAGCTTTAGATGTGAGCTGTTATAGATCTGTAAAGCTGGGCTGTACAGCTCTAGATGTGAGCTGTTATATATCTGTAAAGCTGGATTGTGCAGCTCTAGATGTGAGCTGTATATCTGTAAAGCTGGATTGTGCAGCTCTAGATGTGAGCTGTATATCTGTAAAGCTGGATTGTGCAGCTCTAGATGTGAGCTGTATATCTGTAAAGCTGGATTGTGCAGCTCTAGATGTGAGCTGTTATATATCTGTAAAGCTGGATTGTACCGCTCTGCATGTGAGCTGTTATACATCTGTAAAGCTGGATTGTACAGCTCTGGATGTGAGCAGTTATAGATCTGTAAAGCTGGACTGTACAGCTCTAGATGTTAGCTGTTATATATCAGTAAAGCTGGATTGTACAGCTCTAGATGTGAGCTGTTATAGATCTGTAAAGCTGGGCTGTACAGCTCTAGATGTTAGCTGTTATACATCTGTAAAGCTGGATTGTACAGCTCTAGATGTGAGCTGTTATATATTTGTAAAGCTGGATTGTACAGCTCTAGATGTTAGCTGTTATATATTTGTAAAGCTGGATTGTACAGCTCTAGATGTGAGCTGTTATATATTTGTAAAGCTGGATTGTACAGCTCTAGATGTTAGCTGTTATACATCTGTAAAGCTGGATTGTACAGCTCTAGATGTGAGCTGTTATGTATCTGTAAAGCTGGATTGTACAGCTCTAGATGTTAGCTGTTATATATTTGTAAAGCTGGATTGTACAGCTCTAGATGTGAGCTGTTATACATCTGTAAAGCTGGATTGTACAGCTCTAGATGTGAGCTGTTATACATCTGTAAAGCTGGATTGTACAGCTCTAGATGTTAGCTGTTATACATCTGTAAAGCTGGACTGTACAGCTCTGGATGTGAACTGTTATAGATCTGTAAACCTGGACTGTACAGCTCTGAACATGAGATGTTTGTATCTGTCAAGATGGACAGTACAGCTCAGAATTATAGATTATAGATTATAGATCTGTAAAACTGGATTGTACAGTTCTGAATGTGAGCTGTTTTGATCTATAAAGCTTCATTGTATGGCTCAGAATGTGAGATGTAATGAATCTTTAAAGCTGGACTATACAGCTCTAGATGTGAGCTGTTATATATCTGTAAAGCTGGACTATACAGCTCTAGATGTGAGCTGTTATATATCTGTAAAGCTGGACTATACAGCTCTAGATGTGAGCTGTTATATATCTGTAAAGCTGGATTATACAGCTCTGAATGTGAGCTGTTATATATCTGTAAAGCTGGATTGTAGAGCTCCAGATGAGCTGATACACATCAGGCAAGACTGTACAGCTCTGGATGTTAGCTGTTATATATCTGTAAAGCTGGATTGTTCAGCTCTGGATGTGAGCTGACAGCAGTGATTAGTGTCTCCTCCATCTTGCCCATGCTTAACATTGATGTGACTGACTGAAGCCCTGCCTCAGCACATCTCCTCTTGGCTGATGTATTTTCCATCAAAATATGCTCCCTCAAAAACTCTTGAGCTTTTCAAGAGACAACAGAGCATATTTTGGTACATTTCTACATTTGTCTGTGAACACATTTGTTCTCACTGAAATCACAGACAGGAGGTGCATTTTTGTTGGATAGCAAAATGCCCTTGTGAACTCAGCCCAGCACAACTTACAAAGGGCTTAGCAATTAGCTGATGACCTAAATCAAGTGTGTTGTACTTTGGAAAACATAAATCTGAAGGTCATGGGGTCCTTAGAACTGGAACTATTGATCTTTGGTGCCAGAAAGAAACGTCTTTTAAGCTTCCAAGCAAAATAAGAATTTAGGTGTGTGACTGTAATACATTGCTCAGCTATAAGATAGATTTCCAGACACATTTAAACTGTCAGAAAGTGTCTAACAGAGTTTTGGGGGGGGAAATTCTTACAGCTGTGATCATTCCTGAGCGTTTGGTGTTCTTTCAGGTTTTGTGGAATCGCTAACTAACCGCAGCCAGTGGGCCACCCCGCATTACAGCTGAACACTGTGTGCTAGGAAACCCTCTAGATACATGATTATTAACATACTTTCATCTTTTTTTTCCCTGCACAAAATAATGAACGCTCATAAATAAATAAATAAAGTGGAGTTAATGGCCATGTGCAGTCTGGCAGCTATTCCCCAGTGGCTTGTTATGAGCCTTAGCTTCCGCTCGCGCTCTCCCCAGCCTCGTCCACATCCCTCACCGCTCGCCTGTCTACAAGTCAAGCAGCTGATGCTCTCCCACTCATTACGTCCACACTAAAGAAAGAACGGGTTATGTAACGCACAGTGTTTTCCTTCGCTGTCGTCCACATGTGAGGTGTTTTTCGCTCCCTATTAGTTCAGCACTGGTGCTTGGACACCAGAAGTATTAGTTGGCAACAGAGCAGCGGTAAAAGGGTGTTTCTCTGCACTCTGCTGTATTTCCATTTCATCAGATTATGATGCAACGACCACTCCAATTAAGCCGGCCACTTAAAAGCCCAATCTGTCTCCCCCCCTGGTGTTTTGGAACATACGCTGACCTGGTGATTACAGTTCAAATCATCCTAATCTTACATCAGCAAGGTACCACAATGACACTGTCGCCTAATTCCCAAATCTGGTCAAGCAAAATTGGCCCACCTGTACATCATGCAATCTACTGGTATAATAATACACAATAATAGCACCCAATGATCGCAATGACTGATGCAATGATTTGAAAAGGGTTCTAGATAGCACCAAAAAGGGTGCTTCCATTTTTACAAGAATCATAGAATCCTTTTCAAAAAGGTCATATATAGAACCATATACAACACATTCTCCATAAGCCTGAAGAATCATTTAACCATTCAAACAACACTTTAAGTACACAAATGGTTCTTTGAGTGTTCATGGTTACTATGTAGAGCCATGAATCCTTGAATAAGCATCTTTTTTAAGAGTTAATTTCACATGTGAATGCAGTAGTACTACACCCTTTAAAAAGATGGTTCTTCAAGGATTCTTTAGTAAAGAAAACGGTTCTATATAGAACCATGAACACTCAAAGAACCCTTTGCATGATTAAAGGGTTTTTTTGCATGGTGAAATGGTCTTCAGATTGATGGAGAATGTGTTGTATATTTTTCTATAAAGCACCTTTTTAAAAAAATGGTCCTATAGAGCACCAAAAGGGGTTCTTCTATTGTTACAGGTTTGCCATCGTAACAATAGGAGAACCCTTCTTGGTGCTACATAGAATCCTTTTCCAAAAGGTTCTATATAGAACCATATACAACACTTTGCATTGTGCAGTCTGAAGAACAATTTCACCATGCAAAGAACACTTTAATCATGCAAAGGGTTCTTTGAGTGTTCATGGTTCTATATAGAACCGTTTTCTTTACTAAAGAACCCTCAGAGCTATCTTTTTAAGGGTGTAGTATTGGAAGTACATGAAACCAACAGATCGAGTAAGCTATTACGGTGCCAATTCATGTAATGCTTTAAAAAACAGTATCATACTCTCAAGAAAACATGGGTTCTGTAGGTAAGACAGTGGTGGTGATAGGAACCAGGGGTCACCATGACTACAACACAAATATAGCCATTTTATTCACCATACAGAACAACCAAG